CGCCACCCCCCCCACCCAAAAAAATACTTTTCTATATATGTTTTGCTGTATTTCTGTATGTAACCACTGTTTTATCCATTTCTCCAATTTCAGGGAGGTTTTGGACGGAAGAAAAAGAAAAAAGAAGTAAGACGTTGTGTCATGCTAAGTAATGCCCTATCTATCTCTATCTCTATCTCTAATATATTTTTTTTTCTCTCTCTCTTTCTATCACACACACACACACACTCTCTCTCTTTCTCTATCTATCTCTTTCTTTCTTTCTTTCTATCTCTATCTCTCTTAATTTCTTTATTTCTGTATAACTATCACCCTAATTACTTTCTTAAAACCTTAGCATTTATCTAACACGTTATAAATCACACATGCGTTATCACCATTTATAATATACGCGTGCATTTGTATATATATATATATATATATATATATATATATATGTATATTATACATATACTATTCACGATGCAATAGAATTATACAGTTGATTTATACACGCATACACGCATACACATTTACACGTATGCATATACCTTATACGTCAATCTCTCGATATACTCATATATTATATAAATATATTTATATATTTTAATATATATATTAAATATATTTAATTATATATATGTATAATAATATATTATAATATGTACAAATAATATATATATGTACAATAATATATTATAATATGTACAAATAATGTATTATATATATGTAGAATAATACATATGCATATTAAGAAGTATTAACGCGTGTCACGTGTATTAAAAGTATATACATATATACATATATATTATATATATAAGTATATCGTTATTGAACCAGGAATATTATCGATATTCGATGTACAGTTAGTGTGTTTCGACAAAATTCCTTTTCATATTTGAAGCAGCATCAGCAACAGCAGCAGCAGTAGCAGTAGCAGTAATAGCAACTACTATATTTCGGTTCAAGGACAAACGATCTAATGACGACGACGACGTAACAAATCTTTATCTGGTTTTCCATTGTATTCGATATATATATATATGCAATTCTATATTTTATTAGAATTCAAATCCTTCTACTTGTTCTCTTCCATCCTTTTTCTCTCTCTCTCTTTTTTTTCTTCTTTTTTTTATTATAAATAGAATTCAACATTGGAAAACCGGTGACGAGAAGAAATTATAAATCTAACCGAGTATCATTTCTCTAATCACTCATTCGTTCATTTATTCATTCATTCATTCATAAATTTGTCAAGAATTATTTGTCACCAACTTGAGATAATATACACACACACATAACATACTTACATATACACTTGATAAATATAGGACTGCAATAAATGAACAAGTTTTTTTTAAGCTTCTTTTTGTTTAAATCTTTACTATTCGTCATTTGTTAAGATTTATAACGCGAAATGTTTTTAGATTTTCTTTGCTAGAAAAGATACGATGATTCAAAAACGAGTAAACAAATTTCTTTATAATGAAATAACACGTACAATCATGAACAAAAGTAACAGCTAACAGCAACACTAACAGCAGCTGCAGCAGCATCAGCATCAGCATCAGCAACCAATTTAACCGATGCTTATATTTTTTTTTTAATAAGCCACATTTAGTTAGAGTGATGCTGGTTAAATATATATTTTTTTTCTACCCATGATTAAAACAAATTAACAAATAAAAAAACGAACGAACGAACAGACAGATTATCATAAATTATTCAAATCAATCAAAATAGGAAAAATTATTTACAATAAAATTGGATCCGTATAAATAAATAGTCGACATCACTCAAAATATGTTTTAAGTAAAGTGATCTTCAAACTGTATATGTATCACGGAACACCAACCTTTACAACCCAAAAATTATTTTTTTAAAAAATATATATAACAAATTGTAATATTTTGTTACATTTGAAAAAATCTCATGTGTATCCTATAGTTTTCTTTTTTTTTATATTCTAAAAAGAAATGGTTCCATCGAATATTTTTTGTTTGTTTATACTTTTAAAGGTTCCGTTTAAACTGAAAACAAGTTTGAGGACCATTACTTTAGTAGAACAAGAATGCAGTTTTGATTGCAATGCTTGCTTTTGCTTTCTCCTTCTCTCTCTCTTTATCTTTCTCGAAGACTATGATTTTGTTTTCTTTTTTGTATTTAAATAGGCGAGAATCTAGGACGGTTCACGCACTATGCACTCGAAGAGTATTCAGAACTAAAACGAAAAGCTCGTTTTTTTTTTCTTATTTGTTCCATTCTGTTCGTTGGTTGTTGTTTCTTTTCTCTTTCTTCATTTCGTAATCACACGCTTCGCTGATATTTTAGATTTTAGATATTTCTATATAGATGATGTATATATTTTATATACTTGTTTAGATATTATATATATATATTATGTGAGATAGATAGATAGATAGGTAGATAGATATTGTTTAAAAGAAAAAAAATAAATTACAAAATATAGATGCA